GTTCATCAGTTTTTACGAGGCGCGGTTTATCTTGACGATTCGAACCGTGAAATAGAATTCGTTTATTATGGGTTTCTGCTTTAAACGTCAAATACTTGACGTTCTTATACACTCGATCAGCTAAATTGTCCTACCGGTCGACCGAGTAAAACAAATTGAGTGATTTTCTAGCCACTGTATTTTCTTCATGATTCGGGATACAACTTGGAGAAGCTGTTGAATATTGCTCATCAAATGGCGTACAGTACAGTATTCTGTAAAAAATGTTATTTTTTCTAATACAGTACGAAGAACGAAGGAGTTGTGCAAACGCTACCGTGGTTACGCGTGAATTCCTGACAGTGAACCAGGTACAGTACAGTCGAACATCTTCAAATCGAACTTCCAAGGACCAGCAAAAAAAAAAAAAAAAAATTCTGCTGGTTTAAAGTTAGGAAAACAAGCATTTGTGTTGGGAGAAATTAAAAAATAATTACAGGGAAGTGTATTCGATGGTATTCTAGGCCTCAAATCGATTCTTAAATGAGTTGATGAGATACTGAACTTGGCGTTAAGGGTTTTTTTCCCCAATAAGTCTTTCGTTTCTTATCAAAGCACCTCAAGTTAAATTTTTATTGCTTTTCTCTTTCCTGTGTCAATAAGGTACTGTATTAAACAATAGGCCTCCAGAAAATTCGAATTGGGGGGAGAAAAAGAAAGACTCGGTTGGCGACAATATCGAGGAATTTGGGATAATCGAGGTTCTACTGCTTTTCGAGCAGTTATCCACACATTCCCATTTAGCTCGCTCGTTTGTACAAGTGCCCGAGCAGATGCTGACGGGGGACTGCCAAATTTCGGGGGTAATGGCCAGCACAAGATAACAAGAAGGAGCAAAAATATTCTAGAGATGATGGATATTTCTTCCCGCTGCATCGATTTTTGTCTCCTTTCCGCTGGGCGCGTCTAAAAGAGTGCCGAAGTTTTTTTATGATCGCCTCTTTCTAGCAACCCACAATACTCCTCGTCCGACACTACACACAGTCGAGTAAGTAGGCAGAGAGCAGTGAGCTTTGCAAAGGCTCTTCGCGGCTCTTTTTTTTTTCTTTCTTCCTCCTTTTGGTCTTTTCACGTCTCCCTTGACTTCACTCTCCCGGCCGTTTGTGGGAGATGAAAGGGGGGAGAAATGAGCGTAGAAAAAGTTGACGTGTATCTACAGTTTCTACCGGCTGCACTTGTTTACTTGGCCTTTATCTTACCTGGGCGGATGTTGAACTAATTTCCCTCTACTTCCCAGTGATTTCAAGAAAGGACGGCTAGGGATTTCTGCACTCGGAAGGCGGATTTATTTTCTTTTTTAGTCTTGGAAAACGGCTCGCCAAAGTGTTCACCGCTTGTCATCCGTGCTTGAATACACTTCGCACTTTTCTTCCGCTCATTTGGCGCGTTTAGATTTCTCTCTTTGCTATCATTCGTTATATTTCGTGCTGGAAGCGGAGAAATCGGAGCCCAGTACAGTACAGTATTTCGCGTTTATTATGTTTGATCACTACGTGAATTAACGAACGTCCATCGTTCCGGATAAGGGAGGTGATGCGGTGATGCTGATCGAAATTATTCTTTTATCGGAGCCAAGTACAGTACAGTACAGTATTTCGCGTTTATTATGTTTGATCACTACGTGAATTAACGAACGTCCATCGTTCCGGATAAGGGAGGTGATGCGGTGATGCTGATCGAAATTATTCTTTTCGCTCGTGGATAAAGTGAGAGGTGAGTTCATGATGACGTGTTTTTTTTTCGACTCTACCCGGTTCATTCAGTTATTCAAATGTTTGTCATTCGGCTGATTCAGAAACTGCGCAGATAAGTTGATGTTTGTACGTGTGCTGCTCGAGCGGTAGATGTTGGTCGTGCCGGGGAAGATAATTTTCGTCGTTGGTTGCATTAAAAAAGAAACGCAAGAAGAAAAGAAAAACTGTCTTAAATTCCGTGTTGGCGAGTTCTCAAAAAGTTGTAGCGATAAGGATATTTCCGGTATGAAGTCTCGAGCTCTAGTTTTCTTTCACTGACCGGCGAGAATGTCGTGGCATCCGCGTTCTTCTTTGTTTGAAAAACCTTAGTTATTCGCTCTTTTTCATTGTCCGGACTACTTACTCGGATGAATCATGATAAAATTTCCTCACAACGAAACCATTGGGACCGATGAATAGCGTCGCTGGAATGCAAAATTCGTAATTAAGTAAATCGTTCAACATTGTGAATATTTGACAGGGGCCTTAAAAATGACTTCTTTGTGAACGCTTAATTGTTCGAGCTTTATTTCAACGAGATTTTACTCTATATGCACCGTGAATTCCAAGGCTACTTTAGCGTGTGACCTGAAAAGGCAATCGAAAATGCGGTTTATTGAACAATCTGCCTTCTTTCTCGAAGGAATATCCGTGGAGGAAACGTGTTCAAAATACTTTCTGTAGTTGAACTTATCAAGCCTGACCCATGTCTCACGCATTGAAGCATTAGGGTTTAAGTTTACATTTCCTGAAGTTACGAGGATGGAATGTTTTGTTCGTTTGTGTTTTTTATGTGTGAAAATGTTCAAATTAATTTTAATATGTATAGAATCGTAGCGGAACCGAGAACTTCTGTCTAGTACTCAAGTAAGAAGACGGAGATTTCCCCAGATGATTTTTATATTTTTTTCATTCTGCGAAAGCTGCAGAATTTTCGAAGCGTTTCCTGTGCTGCTTTATATGCATAGGTTTAAAAATTTACATAGCTTCTCAAACATGAGAACCGGAAACTGCTTAAATTTGCCAACGGAAGCATGGAATTGTTTTCGATTTTTGTTCATACGATTGAATTGCGTTCGTGGCCCTGCCCTGCTTTGGTTCCCTGTGGTTGCGGTCTTCCTTTAAAGAAACCCTCGGTCGGGCAGATAAATTATTCTCCCTGTTCCTGAAGAAAATATGTTAATGAAGATATGAAGTATGTTGTACGGTTGTCTGTTCTGCTTCTGCATAGAAATGGAACGTCGTGATATTCGACGATAGTATGTCACCGGAACCCACATTTCAGACAAAATTTGAAGCTGTTCCTGAAATCATCGAATGACATTCTTCGCAGATCGGAATGGATTTTTCATTTGTGCGAAACCCCCGCAAATTCGTGAATTCAGGGAATTGCACGGGACATATTTTACGCGCATTTTAAAAATATCATTTTCCCTACTATTTACTGTATGCGAATTTCCCGAGTCCTTGGCGTCGATTTTTTCGCCTTCGTTCTCAAAACTTATTTCCAAGCAAAGATGAAATTTCTTCCACATGTGAACATTTGTGTCGCCTCAAGAAAACTGGGTTCTTGCTTGATTTCTGTCGAAACGAGCGAAATTGTAAAGAAATGAGAGCAGGTGACTTGTGCAGAAACTCTTTCCTTTCGTGAATTTACTAACGCATTTCTTCGAGTATCACGTGTTCATCGCATGATTTTCTTCTTGGTGTAATCGTGGCGTATCGCGTTTAGGCGCACTTTTTTCATTCCTGGTACGAAATGGAAATCAAAGGGCGTAACATGAATTTTCAATCACGTGAAACACTATTTGAAGTAGTGGTTCCGGACAACCTCCTCATTTTGATTTTTTTTTTGTGTTCGCTTTGTTATTTTCGTCGTTTACGCGAGTTGTGCCAGATATTTGCCGCTCACGATCTTCAGAAGCGGGAAAAAAAGTCACGGTCAGCACTTGAAGTAGGGGAGAATTATTGTGATATGATCATTGCTCTAAAAATTAGCCCGCACAGAAGCCAATATCAGGCATCACCGTTTTGTGACTACGAAAAATGATACTTGAGGCGTCGATAGCTGTCGTGTCATATTTAATTTCATTCGTGAAACGAGATTCTACGAGTATAGCAACAATGGAGGCGAAAATTGTGGATGGTCATGCACGTTTTTATGAAGAGGATGCTTCACGCAAAAAAAAAAAAGGACGAAGTTGTAATGGATAAAGTACAGAGCTTTGTGTACGAAAACCTTCTCAGCAGTGATATTCATTTCAGTAATTTTTGTTGGCAGACCTTTCACAAGTTTTGTGGTTCAACAAAAAAAGCGATTCAACAGAACCGTATGGTGTTGGGAAGAATAGTGCTACAAAATTTTCAATTGAGATAAAAGGGACTCAGGAAAGATGATATCGACTAATTTTCCTTTTTCCTTTCTGACATTATACTAGGTGGATTTGCTATTAGACCTCAGTGGAAGAAGCATATCAGTTACCATTCACAATTGATGAAAAAAATCTTCCGGTAAAAGTGAATTCTGCCGCCCCCGGAACTATTCCTTCTTTTCTTCGATTCTTTTCCAAGGCGTGTTCGTCACATCGACGCCACTGAAAGTACTCTATAAAATTGGTCATCATTCGAAAGATGAGATTCATTTATAATTGTGGACGTGGTATCTCGAACCGTTCGAAAAGAGCCAAAACTTTTAAGTTCTTCAGTACTTGTCGGCCCCTCCTGTGAACAATTCAACTTCTCATTGAGATTTCCTCTTCAACGATTCAAGTTGTGGTTTGCTTAATACTGAAAAGTTCCGTTTGTGTTGCTTTTTTTATTTGAACCGTATGGCAGACTGCGGGTAGTGTCATTGCTCGAAAGGTTCGGAGTACCGAAGCGAGACTCGCTTTATCGCTCCGTGTGCGAACCCATCTTGAAAGTTTGCGATATACAGTAAATATTTTGCCACCGTGTTATTTGAAGTGAACTACGTCGGAAGCAGCAGATGCGCTTGCTGGCTAGTTAATGATCGCCTGGTGATTTATGAAAGCTAATCTCAAGGTTTTCCCCTCTTCCCACTTTTTTTTCTTTCTTTCCGGAACAAGGAACTCATGGGCTCCGGCGCCGCGTCCCGCCGGCCTGAGTTTGCTGGCTCGTGCAAGAAACGTGTCCAAATCGCACGCCAACCTCAGCATGACCGGCACGCCATCCTTTTTTGGCAGCAGCAGCACTTTCAGCAGCAGCAGCGGCAGCAGCAGCAACAACAACAACAGCTTCAAGCTGAGTGGGAGTAGTCGCAGTCTTCACGTACGCGGAGACGCGAACCAAAACCTATTTCCGACGACTGCCAAGTCGCGCGGTCGGAGCTTTTTGTTTCGCCCGGGCTCGTCGGCAACGCTGCCGCCGGGAAGCTCGTTGGCTGGCATGACGAGTGCCTCGACACTGTCGACGTCGACGACGACGGCTGCTGCTGGTGGGGTGACACACATGCCGAATCCGGAGAAGTTTGGGATTGTGGCGGATGCGTTGGTGAGCGGGCTCGGGGCGTGTGTGAGCTTTGCCGAGGGGGAGATTGCCAGGCTGCGGGAAGCATTGGATGACGCGAACAAGGACGTGGAAACCCCTGGAGGAGGAACCCATGAAGTGGTAAGATCCCCTTTTTAAAATCTTTTTGTATCATATTTTATGCCTCTTTTTGTTTCACACGTTCAATCGTTTTCTGTCGCGCAGTCCTGTGCATCCCGTGGATCGACATTTTTAATGAAAATTGGGGCGAGTCGTTATGCGAACTTACTGCTGGACACGAGGGTTGTTGTTCATGAGTTTCGTCGGTGTTTTGCTTCCCTTTCCAGTAATGTTGGGTAGATAAAAATGAACATCAGTTTTCAGCGTAATATTCTATTTATTTGCAGTCCATGATTAGAACTGTTCTATTGACCGAGGGGCAAATGAGAAGACACTTGGGTTGGATGTGCACTCCATCACTGAGGAATTAATGCCCACGTGCAAAACTTACTTACAGTATTTTATGATCTTGCAAGCGACCACAGTTCCGCAAAGTTCATGAAATCATTTATCGGGAATAATGTTCCAGCTCCTAGCATTTTTCACAGATAAAAGGAAAAGGTACCGACAATACATATTTGATTTTGTCAGTGTTCGTGGTGGTGATGCGACATGCGAAAGTTGCCCTGAATTGTAAATTGGCGAGTGCTGTTCATCCCGGGTCTGAGAGTAGAGATAATGAATGATAAATGAAAGTTCGGAGGATCCTGGTACGTAAAGTTGTGTTCCGTACTCTTGAAAATTCATCTCCAGGTCCTGAAAAAAAACAACTTTGAACTACCGTATTCCCCGTGCGTATACGAAGATGCAGTGAAACAGTTCGAGGTAATTTATTTTCCCCTTTCTGGTGATCATTATTTCCGAACTTTTCCTGTCAATGGTTAATAAATCTGGAGTTCATGGGGTGTCAAGATGGAAAAACAAATTTAGCTTGTTGAATCGTCCGCTTTTTTTTGGCTGCACAAAAAATGTGAATGTAAATCTGCCACCACAAATTTTAAGGAATTCGAACTATTTATGACTCGAATGCATCAACTTGTGCGATTTCCCGGAAACTGTTCTCAGAATTTCTTGATGTCTCATGAAATTTTGTTATACAAAATTGATATAGATATAGTACGCATGATATAGATACAGTATTCAGAAGCAAGTCTTTCTTCTTCGCCGGATGTTTTAGAATCATTTTCAAAATCTTCGCTTTCGAAGTGAACATATCGCTCATATTACAATAATAGATACACCATCGCTGTCAAAAAAGATCAATTTAACATATGCGTTCATTCGGATCCTCCGTATTTTCTGATTTAGATCCTTTTAATCTTTACGTGATCCAACTGACGCATTTCAAAGTTATACATTTTTCGAAATTTTCAGGTCTGGTGCCCCGAAGAGAACATCAATTCTGAATAAATTCGGGATCCTTTCTATGATTTCTCCGTATCCGTATTGGAATTTTGGGAAATTATGCTGGGCTGTAAAATGAATTTTCAAAATGACACTACAGTATTTGATTGATATTAATGTTTCCGTGATATGCTGCACTCATTTAAGTTGGTTAACGGTGATCTAAGGCGTAAGTTCTCACTCATGCGGAGGTAAATTCAGTTCTTCCGGAAATAATGCACACCACTTCGGCTTGTAGTTCGGGCAATTATTAAACGTCTCTTGAATGAGCGTCCGAATTAAGACCGTGTTCAACCGGATTCTTCGTGTAATGGCTCTGAAATTCACTGTCAAATTTCGTGATGCGGCGAAAGATCTGGGTCCTGTTCCTCACGACGGCTGATGAGCATGAATAGCATATGATTTCGCTAACCGCCGAATGTCGATCTCCCGGGATGCACGGGAGCGCATGAAAGTGGACACGAACGTGGGAACGAAAAAAGGGCTGCAGCTGGTGGAAGGGATGGAAAGTTTTCCAAGCAAATTGTAAAGCTGTTCGAGGGGTACCGGACGAAAAACCAGGAGAAATCCGAATCGTGAGAAGCAGGCTGCGGGCTTTTCATGCTTGGCTGGCTCGAAATCGCGTTGGAGATGATATTCGTTCGAAATTTACGTTTTCGTTTTGCTTTCTGGTGGGTACACCAAAAAAGGCGGAGGGAGAGAAACGGAAATAGGGCCATTTCGGTATGACGAACCTCACGTTGCCAGTCCTGCAGTTTTATCATTACAGTTCGTTGAAAATTACTGTAGCTGCAGATGCGGTATTTAACTTTTGAGTATCCAACTGGGATGTGAGCTGTTCCCGAAATGCGAATTTGTAGATGCCCATTCATTATTACCGGTTATTATTATCGAACTCCTTAGCTTACCATTTCGAATGGAAGTTCGTCAATGATAAGCAGGGATGTCTGCGTAACGTCCTTTTTTTGTACTACCAGAGGGTGTTCAGATAATCGTCTTGCAGCTGTCGTGATCGTAATTCTAGGATGTCAACTTTTTCAGAATTTTCAACAGAATTCAGGATACAGTATGAGAGTTTACTCATGACTTTAACTGGAATTGCGTAAATAATACAGTACATACCTACAACCTACGTATAGACTAAAATTCTAAATCATACTTGAAAACTCAGAATAATTCCCAAAATCGAAAAAATACAGTACGTATTTATTTTCAACATTCGTTCTACATAGTTTGTTTTCCAGGCTTTTAATTAAAGCCAATTTCCGTAAAGTCGCTTATTTTTCCCGAAGCCATAAATAATTAAATTTTCTTTTTAATGCTCAGATTTTAATTTGCGAGGAATTATCAATGTCGTGAGACTTGTACGCTTGGTATCAATTGCGATCTTCCCAATTTGTATGACGTCTGTTGATCACTTTTCTCGACTTGAAAATATTGTACTTCATGTTTTCAATTTATTTCGTAAATGAAGGCCGAGAAAAAGCTCGAAGTTTGTTTTTCTTTTCCAAAATTGAAAGGTTTTGTGTTTGAGAGTAGATATGGTTCGTGTACGGTGCAGTTTTTCTATGGTGGAATATTAATTCATGTGACGTAAATCATATCAAGCATCACTGACGCGTCCCTGAATGACGAAGTAATTTAAGGGCTTTTTTCATCAATCAAACGAGCCCTTGTTCCTTTATTCTTTCCGACCTCCAAACTTACCCTCATATTTTCTTTTTAATTTTTTCATCCTTCTCTTCGGAAAGCCAGGTTTAGTTCAAGACAATTAGTTCAAGTTTTAGTTCGAGACAGCCTAATGTTATGTGTCATACATAATACTATTGGGTTAAAAACTGCTTTTGGGAATATCGAAATGAATTGACTCTGTACAACGATTTTATTTGTATATACAGTACATTTTTTTCGGTCCATAGGGTTCTCCACCCATCGTACTGTTTGAAGGTTCTCTACGACGAATTTTTTCTGGTCCCTTAAATTTCGTTGTACAGACTCCGCCTGTACATGAAATTTTCTTCTAAATCGTCATACCGAAGTGCCAAGTTGTCGATTCTCGTGATGTCTGTGTGTGTGTGTGTTTTTTTATTTTTATCTCGCTGTAATTCGTCCTCTGAAGGAAGGGGATGGAACGTACGTGCTAATGATCACGAGTTTGTGTGGTTTTTCTCTTTGCGTTTCTCTTTCAGCCACGAGCTGGGAAGTTGTTCGAGTCGGAAAGGGTAAGATGTTGCTTGGGTTTACTTGTATGTTTCTTCCCGCCTGCGTCATTTCGTCTTGACCTCTTGTTTTTCGCGGGTCCCGGGAGTCGAATCATCATCATCTCCCAGTGCGTCTCGCAACCCGTGAAATATATTTTTGTTTGAACGGAATGAACGAGCATGCCGAGGAGAAAGCCCTTTGACACTTTTTTCATGGCATGACGAACGTATGCGATTTGATGTGTTTTTCAGTTCCGCCATCCGTCATTTTGAAATGTTTTGTTTTGTTTCTTAGTTGGCTCTAGAGGGTTCCCTTTCGCTGACGTCGAATGCATGGCGACTTCGATCAGGCTCATTCGAATATATTTAGTGTGCTAGGTTCCTTTAATCTCGTCTTCGGAAAATTGAGCGTTATCCGCGATAATGCCGAAATAAATATTGGGGGGTAATATGAAAAACGAAGTTGAATTTTGGATTAGCCAAGTTCCTGTTTAGATGGAATTCTGTGCTTGTACAGTCTAATCGTAGTCGTATCTTTGAATGAAGAACGGATTCAAAAGATGCTTCCGTGAAAATTTATGAGAGGTTGTGTTTCAAAACTTCCCTGATCATATCAATAAAACGTTATGTCACGTGACAGAAAGAGCTTCGTTTGGAGCGACTTTCATCCTCTTGAACAATGGAATAGATTTTGATGTAATCCACTCTGATAGTGCTCTCCATTGTTTACTAGCTTTTCGTTCTTTTCCCGAACGCGGAAAGTTTTTATTTTGTTTGTGATGGACTAGCAAGGTTGTATTGTGAAAACATTACCTACCCTATAAATTGATTTACGTTTTTCTTCGTTTGAAACGTAATTTGAAGATTCTCTGGCCGTACTAGAAGGTGAGTATGCTCATGTAATGCGATTCACTTCATAGGTTCGTTGGATTCCATGCCGAAATCATCAAATTCGATGGATTTATTTACAAAATTGGCGTTGCTACAGTAATAGCTCTTGATACGTTTTAAGGAAGTAAAGACGAGCTATTTTTAATTCTTCACTTGAATGACCCTGGACCCTCTACTTTCTTACTTTTTGATCGAGATGAACGCGTATTTTATTTTTCTGTCGTATTGATGCTCTGTCCATTTGGCAGTCTGCTGTATCTAAGTTGACGAACGATGGAGAAATCGCGTCTCAATATTTGCCCCCCGAAAACCCAAATTTACATCGTTCCATTGTTATTTTATTCCTGAACGAAGAACCGTTAATTTGACTCATATCTAAATCCAGTGGTGTATTTGTCTTGAATTGTTGTTTGTTTGCCGTGACTAGACATTCAACTTTTTGCTTGTGATTTGAGTAATTTTTTTGTAAATTCGTATAATTTCGGCTGCAATGCAGTAACTGGAATAACCTACTTCTATGCGTGAGAAGTTTAAGAATTCGAAAAATATCGTACCAAACTATGACATGAAGCACTGTGAAGCAATGATAATTGCGGTCGTCAAAACAGTCGACAACATAGGACACGAGTCATGGGGTTTTTGCAACGAATGTGTTTAAACTCTCTAAGCCCAGAAGTCGTACAAGATGCAACTGTGCTTCTGTTTAGCGTTTTCATGTGTTATTTCACGGAGACAAAATAGGGAACTTTTAGAACATGATTTTACTTTTTTCGTCTTCTGAACACTTTCTTTCTTTGTGCCGCAGCATTTTATAATCGCGCATCTCTTACTTCTCTAAAATAACACTTGAGAGATTCCGATATGCCTTTTTGAGTGCCGTTGTGGAGTTGTACAAAAATATGTCAATCTTGATTGCAATCAATGCTGTATTGAACCCACATGTTTATCCCATTGGAAAACACTGAAGTTTCACTCATTCGCTGGGATTCTTCTTATTTAAAGGTACAGTTTAGCCTTGAATTTGTATGCGGTAAATTTGATTTTTTGGATGCATTTGGCATTGGAAAGATTTTTTAAAATGAAATATGTTCTCGCCCCACCGTGAGCTGCCGATCATCTACAATATAATTATAGATCATGGCTTGAAATTCTCTTCTTCAGATGGCAGATCGTAATTTTTTTGATTGCAC